CCGGAGGGCCACCGCCTCCTCGTCTATATATAGCTCCGCCCCTGATCGTATTGGAGAATGAAATCCTTGTGATTCTGCAGACTAATTAATGAACATTCTATTGAATTTTCGACCAGAAAATACGAGATTCCATCGTTTGGAAGGCGTTTAAATCGTATCAAAGACTTTCCTCGCAGCTGTAAAAATATTGGCATCAGAACATCTTCAGGAAAATATTCCATATTGTATGATATGAAAGTGGGGGATCTAATGGAAGATCGGAACCAAAGGTGCTTTATTTATAATGCTTCTCTGATTCATCAATATACCATTCGAATTAGGATATAAATGACACAAGGACTAGTAATTCTATTTGAATGAGGATTTCACAATTTCTTTAATCCCTTTACGACTAGGACCATAATACTCGGAATTGATTATTCTTCTAATTTCTTTTGCCCATCTTTTGGTTCTTTTATATATCTTTTTCTAAAATTATTTTTGTAATTTTTAAACTTGTATTTTTAATGTAAAACTAGGCTTCAAGTCGCGTTTGCGTGGTTCGTCTATTAATTATAATTTTTTATAATAATAATTAATTATAAATATATTTGAAGTATTTTTTTATAATTAATAATTTTAAATGTATTAATTCATAAAAAAGTTCTAAATGATATTAACAATCTATTGATTTGACTGATAGAAATTTGATTCTCTTTGAATAAGTTCTTACTTTTTTTGAATGGAGAAATAAGTACTAAAAAAGTTTTTTTATAAGTCCGAATTAATCAAATTTAATGTGACTTCCATATGCCAAAAAATTAGTACCAAAGAAAAAAAATTCTAAATAATAAATACAAGAAGAAATTTTAAGTGTGCAAATTTAATCAAATTAATTTTTAAAAAAGAAAAGAAAATTTTATAATTTGTTACTATAATAATAAATTAAGAAAATTTATTAGTCATCCTCGTTTTTTTTTTGAACAATTTATAATTATTTACAGAATTAATTGGGAGAGAAAATAAAAAGATTCCGTGGGAGCGTACAACCCACTGAAGGTAAACAGACTTCACCCAAAATCCAATACCACTGACAGAAGTGAGCATTGATTAGTCATTCCCATTTATTCTTTTTCTTTATATTAAATATTAATAAATTATTTAGTACTATTATTTCTCTCTCATCGTCTCCTCCTTGCCTCCTACCTTTTCTATCCATTTCACATATTATATTTTTTTCAATTTTTGGGATTAGGATCGAATCTCTCTCCAAAATTTTCTATTAAGTACTTTCAATTTTCTAGTTTTTTTCAGCATCTTCCTATACCTATATTATTGTTATGAATTTTAATTTAGACTTAAATTAATGCATCTATCTTTTCTCATCTCTTTCTTAATCAGCTTTTTTTTTTTTCACATTATTGTACACTTTCATTACTTTTTGCATCAATTTTACATTTATTCTTTTATATTATCTTCTAATATCTCTTCATATACCCCTCTATATCACTAAATTATTATTTATTTATTTTTTAAGTATACCAGACAATGAGATACATAACAAGAGATAATTATATTTTTCTCTTAATCCCTTACTTTTTTTATTATTCTTTATCCCTTATCCTTCCCATATATCATTATTTTTCTTAGAATTTAACTCTTAACTTACTCTTTAAAATTTATTATTTGTTATTATTATTTTGAAAAATGATCTGTACTCATTTGGTTTAACACACTTAGTTTATCATTGTCCTATTATTTTATCTTTTTTATCTTTCATACTAATATATATATATATATATATTTTATCATTCCTTCTATATATATATATATATGTGTGTGTGTGTTTGTGTAATTTGATAAAACTAGCACGTAGCTTGTTGTTTTTCTTTTCCCTTTTGATTTAACTTGCTTCACAGGAAGTATACAATTTGGTTAAATAAATCTTACTCTTAATTCACATAGTTAATAAAAATAAAAAGAGTACTCGTAAATTTTTGAGATCAATACAACTGACGGACATGGAAGTTCATGATATTTTCTTATGAAATAATAAAGCTTACATGTATATTTTGGATGTTCTCTTTTTCTTTTTCTTTTGTGCTGTTGCCCTCTACATAAAATCAAATCATTATAGTTTTATGGGTATAAAGGCAATCAAGGAATAATAGGACATTTAAATACTTAAAAATCGAAAATTTTTTAGTCTCTCCTAGATTCACCTTATTAGGAATAGGTGCATACCAACAAAGGTGCCTAGGCGCCTCATCAGTTACATCCATGTCCATGGTTCATTGAAGGATGCTGGCATTCCCTCACTAAAGTCTAAGTTTGCATCTGAAAATTAAAAAATAAAAATAAAAAAATAAAAAACTGAAGTTGCATATGTTAGTTCAGTTAAAAACATGAAACATATTTTACTTACGCTGGAAACAATCCATATCAAGGAGGAAAAATATATAGATACTCACTTTATATTATAATGTTGACTACCCGCTACCCTTTAAATACCGTCCTGCCAAAGATCTTCCCTCTCCATAACTATACCTGCTTTCACCTCATATAACCACTATTTAAACTTAGAGAGATGATTATGAGATTAAAATAAAGGAAATAAAGCTACATGCTCCATAACACCCAATTTAAAAATCTAAAGCAAGTAGTTGAATGTAAAGCTAATGATAAAGGATGTAGCAGCCAGGATCATCACTCATTAGTGCAATCAGGATACCGGATTCAATGCTCATTGCTCAACCGTGGTTCCCAATAAGTGGTTGAATGGAAAGCCCATAATATGGTCATTGCTCTTTCCGATGGCTGCTCTCTCTTTTTTTTTTATTATTATTATTATTATTTTCTTTTTGTTTACTTACATAAATTGGAAATAAATTGTAAGATTGAATAGATATTGAAGGGAGATTAAATGAAATCTTCTTAATTAAGAAAACATAAATAAAATTTATTAAAAACTCAAATCCTATTAATGTTGAATATATTGTAATATTTAATTTATGTTAAATTTGAAATGCTTTTTAATAGATATTTTTTAAAAAGTTCATTGGACATTTACTAAAAATTCCTTTAAAGTCCAATAAGTATTTATTGAGAATTTTTTTAAAACCTATTAAGTATTTATTGAAGACTTTTTAAGTCTAATTAGTATTTATTTAAGAATTTTTTAAATAATTTTGTTATTATAACAATTTTATATATAATTAAGATAAATGATCTACCAAAAGAAATACAAAGTAAATGTCAAAAAGCTGGCAGCAATATATAAATTTACTCCTATTGAGTTACCGTTAACTATACAATGAGGCAAGATGAATGGAATTACAACTGAGAAAAGGTTAAATGTAGGAATTACTTACATATTTTATTATGTTACTGTTAGCATCGAAAGATGTTGGTCCACAAACAACGGTTGCTCCTCAAACCCCAATTCCAGCAAATGTTAACATTTCCAGCCCGTGTCTTTTATTTTTTCGTAGGTAGCAACCGTCTTGAACCAACATTGTATAATATAAGCTGCAATTCTTACCATGTCTACTCAGTTAGATTCCACAATCATACTATTTCCTCTGATCTCTGAACCTAGTGTCTGTTATCGAGGATGGAAAATTTTTCCCAAACTTATATTGATCTAGCAAAGTGATATCTTCAGGAGATAACATGAGTGCACCGCTACTCAAGTAATGTCGAGCACCACGCGCCCTGAATGACAGCATTGTGTAAATAAACTATAACTGACAATTTGCAGGGATGCCAAGCTAAATGAAAAGGACATACCTGTGTCTTTTTGTCACTTTAATGCTTGCCGATAAGCGTGAAGCTTCTAATCTTGATATGCATCCCAACGAAGAAAGATATTCATGGAATGTGTTGCCTTTCAGAGCCAAGTATGATCTTGACGGAACAACCGACTTAATGGCATCAAAAAGACATGACTTCCTCTCCCTGCATTGCATGTACCCAAAGAAAATGCATGAAAAATATAATTTGTATGACTAACATGAAATAGAAGAGAATATAAAAAATAAAATGAAACAGAAGACTATTAGTTTGTCAATATGAATGAACTAAAGTCTTAGACAAAGGCACAAAGCATAATAAATAGACAGCAAAGACACAAATGTTACATCTCTTCACATTCTGCTTAGCCAAGAAATATCTTATTCTGTACAGGCCAGTGGCCACCAACTTTCCCCCCAGAGAGAACTCAAAAAGAAGGGAAAAAATATATATATATCATTGGCAGAGGCACGAAATAGGTAATTAGTAAATACGAATTTTGATCCGTGATCTATCCATGTTAAGATATTAAGTGACATGAAAGTAATGAGTATGAGCATAACTTCAAGGCAGATGAGGCCTCTGTACCTCTCAACTGATAACTCCCTTCTTGATGGGCAGATGCCTAAACTGCTTCCAGCAATTGAACTACTTCTTGCTTTTGCATCCTGCCCAAGTAATCTACATAGCTCCATCAAACTGGTTGTGGAAGGAAGCATCTCCTCTGCTGAATTTAGACTTTTCTGAGAACCAGTTTTTAATCCTGTAGCATCAATAACTTTAGAATAGTAGCAGAATCCATCCTGCAAAATTTTGTCAACCATGTGTGGCTGCTCACCAGACCAGCTAATTTCATCTGAGAGCTCAGAACAGATGATTGATAGTTCAAAGGAATCCTGCACAAGTAACCAATCGTTATCATGAAGAACACATTTATAAAATCAAAAAGGGGATGGGTCTCACAAATCACAATAGCACAACATTCAGTACTTACCAGCTTTTGGGACTTAGAAACCAATTGGTCAGCTTGTGAAATTAGGTCGCTCATACTGTGAGCAAGTTTCGCTATCTTAAAAGCATCTGTCAGCTCTGAGGCAACAAATTGTTTTAGAGCAGCATGCCCATTTCGAAGCTTTTTCCATGATTCTTGTACTAAATCAGCTGCCACCTGGTTCTTAAAACTCTCCATGATATTGGATCCCTGACTAAAATCCATGCGACTACACTCATCCATCACTTCATGCCTTGATACAACCACTTGGCTTTTAGAATCTTCACTCTCTTCCTGAGATGATTCTTCAATAATCTCGCAAGTACTTCCTAACATCTCTGAACATTTAACTAATCTACGTTTGAATTCATTGCTCACAGACACTTCTGTAACTTCTGCAACATTTACACAGGACATGGTTCTAGATAAGAGCTCCATTCCGTCATCAATTTCAGTCTCAGGAACAAAAGTTGATTCTGGCACACATGATATATCAACAGATATGTATGTATCCATGCACAAACCGTTTTCTGTTTGTGCACATTGGTAACTTCGGTTGTCAAATTTCTCTGCTTCAGAACAAAGCAGCTCATCAGTTAATGGGTTCATGCAATTCTGCATGGTTGGACACTGAGACAGAAGTTCTCTATCTTTTTCAAGGAATATATCACCCTGTCTATTCTTGTCAGATGATCCTTTATTGAAGCACTCATCTTCAGAATCTGAAGACACTACCACATCAAGTTTTCTCCTACACTTCTGAGGGGTGAAAGAATCCAAGTCAAAGGTGCCTGAGGAATTAGAGAACTCACAAGCAGTATCGGAGGGGTTTATGGTTTCATTTAAATCAGGAAGTGAGAAATTCCTTCTTAACATTGCTTCCTTCTTGGCCTCTAAACTGTCTATTTTGTTGTCATTGATTTCCAAACCATTGCGCCTTTTGTTAGTACCACCTCTTTCCTTAATTGCCTCAATTAAGGTTGGATTTTCTTCCATCATGAATAATGACCTACTGATCTCCTTCTCCACTACCTCTGATAACTGAGATGGGAAATCCCAGGGGAGAAAATTTGGTAGTGACCAATGCACAGCTTCTATATTGAATAGCAGCGGACCAAACATATTCTGTTTTTCCCTACCTGGGCAAATATGGATAGATGTTAAAACACAGAACAAAGTCTTATTCCATAAGAGAAACTAATACATCACAATGGAGATGTATTGGGGAGAAGATACTGCATTACTTATTTTGCTTCACTTAATAAACAGGCATAAACAGGCATTTTATTAAACTTTTAATTGTTAAAGCATCTAACCTAAAACTAGTTGGTAATAGGAACATGAATATAAGATGACAAGAAAATTTCAAACTCCATCGAATGTGGGAGCATACAACTTAAAAGTAATAGACAGATTATTCCTCTTGGTTTCAGAAATCACAGACAGACATACTTTAGAATGAAGTCGTACAAAACACATACAAAAGAAAAAGTCATACAAAATGAACAAATATATCATAACTGTGAATTCAAAGAAAAATTCAGAGTCGCATTAAAAGAAGAATGATAAAGTGAAAAGAAGGGGCAAGTAGGGAGGGTGACAGATCAATCAGATGCCATGTAAAACAATAGAATGGATTGATATTAGAAGCTGTTTAGTTTCAATTTAACAGATTGTATGTCCTCCCCTAGATAAACACCCTGCATCCATGTCAGTATGATGCAAGTCTGTAATAAGTAATTCAAACATGGGGTTTTACTAATATACATGTAAATTCAAAGTCTATTATATGCAAACTATTTTGTTTGGTATTTCAACTTAATTTACAATTTATTGCATTACAAATTACAACAAACAAACATAATATGGCATCTTGCAACTCAAGTGAAAAAAAATAGTACACGTAACATGCTGAAAAACATGCATGGATGAGTTTAAGGAAAAACCTTTTCTATATCTTTTACTCTGGAACCAAAACTGGAGATGCATAATAGTTTTACGGATATCCCCTTGACAATATTTAGTCAGTTGCTCAATTAGATCAGGTTGAATGTTGGTCTTCTCTGCTGCACAAACCTACGAGGAATAGATATGATGAACATGAAAGGGTGGACATTTTTGCAGAGCCAGGATGACAAGCAAATTCCAGTAGGATAAGTGATGCCTAGAAGCTGATACCTTGTAGAGCTGAGGAAGCAACTCTTCTAGAGAAGGCATTGTAAAACATAACTCTAGCCTGTCCAAATTGTTTGGCAGGTCAGGATTGTTATCTACAAATTACCACATGACATGAAGTTAGTAGAAAATATACCTACCATACTCAAGTGAGAATAAAAATTTAACCACAAAGCGTGCTTACTATTGCTAGTTAAGATGACCGGTCCTTTTGCATTTTCAGCAATTTGCTTTATAGCACCAACAAAACCACGATCTTCAGGAAAAATGATATCAACATCCTCGAACAGAATCAAGGATTTAACTTTAGTTCGGGCAGAAGCAATCTCACTGTCATTGCAGTCATGGTTTCCAGATGTTCCAACAGAATCATGTGAAACTTCATCTGATATTGGTATTATTTCCATCAGATCAGAGTCAAACTGTTGTCTTGCTTCAGCATTAGGCAAAGCTCCACTTGATTTCATGATATGCTTGCTATGCAAAGTGACATGGCCTTCCAGTGACCTGAAAGAAACATACTATATAATGTAGGAATACATAATTACATTTGTGAAGCATGTTAATTTAGTGGAGCTTTAAATTGCAGTAGAATGATGTCAAATAAAAGAAAACAACGGTTAAACAAAAAAAATTTCTGCTGCATACAAAAGTCACCAACCTTGTAAGGCAGTGTGACCCCAGAGCCTCTCCAAACTGTTGCTTCAGAACAGCTCCATTTCGACAGTCTGATGCATTGGACTAACATAAAAGGTAAAGGATCAGAAGCATTCTACTTTCACTAATCATATATTCATGGTCTGACATCATTAACACTAAAGATATTATTTAAGCAAGCTAAGGGTCATCCTGAGTTCACAAAAGGACAGGTTTTAGCATAAGAGGTAAGACTGACGACAATATCCATTTCAGGATATGTAACTTTAGAACTTAACTGAGCCTTAGTTACATAAAAAGTTAGGAGTGTACGTAACTTTGTCAACAACCTGAACTTCTAAAATTTTCTCAAGCAAACTATCTAGTCCATGCATTTCTTGCCAAGACAGAAAATCAAGTAATGCAGGATACAAATTGTATAAATGGTTCAACAGTAATCTATAAATTCAATAGAACCTCTAGAACTTCAAATCCTTGCTCCTTTGCACAAGCATGGATAGCTGCAGACTTCCCACACTGCAAGAAGGGTACAATTTAACCACAATATAACTAAATGCTTTTGTTTGTTGAATTTAATTATAAAATTCAAGCAATTACATGATTAACATATGGTCAACTTAAGCTAAAGTAGCATGTACATACCCCAACAGGCCCTGTAACCAAGAGAACATTCTTCAGGCTATCCTCTCCATTTATATTTGCTGAATCAGAGTCATATTGGCAACATTCATAATCGTCATCATCATCTTGCATGTTGCATTTGTCAACTTTAGAGGAATCTTTGATGGACTGAACATCCCTCTCATGCCAAAGACGTAACCAGTCACTCAGAAACTTCACTGCTTCATTATTACCACAAACCTGCTTGGCAGCATTACAGGCAGAAACAAATTATACAGGCAACTAAATATAAATTGCAATTTTCTCCACTAGTATGGATGTCAACACTCTAGCATGTTAAAGAAGAGAGAGAAATTGACCCGTTTAACTTATTTTCTCACCTCGCTGGCCCTTCTAGGCTGGTATTTTACTGTCCATAAGGTATCATCTGGCTGATTACTGCAACCAGAAATGCATCAAAAGGAGTTAAGATTGCAGAAAAATAACTGCCAACAGATAACCATGCATTCTATACATATAGACCCATTCAGCATTCTTCCACTAACAGTTGACGCAGCAACCTTACAATATTAAGATGCAGATCATCTTCAATACATATTCTCTATATTGAATTATTTAAATGTAAAAAATTTCCTGCAAAAAATTAGCATCCAATATTCTCTGACCCAAGCAGGACTTTTGTAGAAGGACAAGAGCAGTATTTGCATATATGAGTATGTTCATGGACTAACCCCCTTAAAAAGTGATGTAGTATTTGCAACAGTTAATTAACTCCAAATAAGAAGCAGAACACAGGTTGCCAAAGGAAGTTCAAGCAAGAAAAAATGAGAGGAGAATCCTAAAACAAAAGATTCCAACCTTTTTGGAAGAACCCTACTCTGCTGTTCAGAATCTGATTTATGCTCACTATAAGCATGCCCAGAAATGAAAACAATTTCATCTACTTGACAATCCTGCCAAAAGAATTATGTTTAACAATAATGTCAATAACATATCTCTCATGATATTGGTAACAGCTACTGCCTTCAAAAATGAAATTCAAGGAATGGAAAAATAGAAAAAATAAAAATAGAATATAATCCTAAAAGTGCAACATATACCCCTTCTGAGTCCTTAATATGCTGACAACTTGCCATATCCTCATCTCTCAATGCACCAGGGATTGCCGGCAATGTCCTGTACAAGTCATCTTCAATAACGAATTGATCCGGTATCTTGTTTTGATCAATTGATGCATCAGAGTGATGTGAAAGACTGAAATGTGATGCCTCAACACAACTTTCAAAAACTGATGTTGACATGTCTCCAAGGCTGCAATTCATATCAATAGAACTTTTCTCACAAAATTTCCAGTTTTTCCAATCAAGAACTACAACCTCATCCTGCATGGCAAAATTTTAGCATCAATAGGTAAGATATTATGTAAATGTAAGACAAGAAAAGTTCAAAACTAGAAAAAGCAATGCATTAACATTATCTAGAGAATAAGATCATACCTGCATCCTTTCAAATACATGAATAGGACCAATACTAATGTTTTTATCTCTTTGCTCAAACGAGCAACAATTAGTTGCCACTTCAGCTGCCTCCTGGTTTCTCTTTCCTACTTTCAGAGATGAGAAGAAAGGATGTATTTCTCTTCCTGCATACATCCTTGAATTTTCCTGATCAAATATAAACAAATACACTTTGGGTTACAGACAATTATTTGTGATCAACATGGAAATTAAGACAACATATGTTGGTTGCCTTAAAAACATTTAAATTGACATAAGTTTTCAATGTTAGGATACTAGGAAAGTACATTAATTTTACCATCCATGATCCAACCACATGTCTAACCTATGTTTCTAATGAACCAGAAGACAAAATATTTTGCTTACAGTGCATTCTGGGTTTTCCCATCTTTTCTTCTATAATTGTACTTGCAACTCCTTTTATGTCTAAACATAACTTTTAATGCAGTACAGACGTGGAAAAAGGAAAAGCACATTATAAATTAAAAAACATAGGAAAACATTAACGCAACCACTAAGTTAAAATCCATAAGGCATAATCACTGACCTCAGCTGTCAACTTTGCTTCCAACCTCAAATTTGGAATTGGAGGTGATGCATCCTCACTCTTCATCTGATTATTTGAAATCTTTCCATTACTGGCGCCATTCTTCTTTGGCTTAGAGTTTGCTGGTGACTTTGTCTCTTTTGGCTGCTTTATAGAAGTTGCAGAAAATTTAAAGAAACGATAGTAGACAAATAGTTAGGAGTGCATAATTTTACCCAGTCAGCACACAAACAACTAGGCAACATCAAAAAGGAAAATCAATAAATCCCCACAATCTTGCCCAGAAAAACCCATGTACATGCTGCATTCCCAATTACATAAATTTCTTCGAATTGTCGTCAGTGCTATAATTTCAAAATTCAAACACACACAACTCCTAAATCTTAAGGAGGAATAAGTAAAACTCCACAGATCTGCAACAATTAAATACATTGCAACAATTTCCGGAAAATCAATTAAGCCAGCTAAAAATTATAGCCAACAAGTAAAAAATACAGATCAAACCTAGTGATAAAACTCAAATAACAAGAAAATTAACCTTTTTTGGAGCTCGCTTTTGAGGAGTCACTTTCCCTTTCCGCTTTCTCCCATTCACCTTGCCTTGACTCCCACAGAAATCCTCATCATCACCATCACTATCCTCGCCATCCAATTCGGTGATCTTCTGTTGACCCTTGGAATCAACTTCCGGTGATTTGTACCCAAACAGCGTAGACTGGACCAACCTCCGACTCATGGTTCCTCCGTTCGGGCAGGTCGGGGCAGATCACAAACGCCAATCTGTTTTCAGATAGGCAATTTAGGGTTTTAGAGTGTTAGTATTTGGGAGAAATTCAGGCGGCGATGATTGATGGAGGGAAGGCGGAATTTGTTCCCGCCTTGATTTGGTCGTGTCGAGTGGTAAAAAGGTCATTCACTGTTACAAAGGAGTCTGTGTCTGACTCTGTAATGTAAATAAAATAAAATAAATAATAAAATTTGATTAATAATTCATTAATTTCTAATTTTTTCCCGCCCCCGCGTTTTTCTCCTGTTTTTTGAAATGGCTTATTTAACCGTTATTTAACCATTAACTTTTCTTCTTTTTTTTTTGATAAGTATCCATTTACTCCTTTTTTTTTTTTTTTTTTTCTTATTATAGATTTGTTAAAATTTAAGCTATTTGTTTGAAATGAAAATACTTTATTAAAATTTCACTTACTGAATAGTGATATTAATTTCAAAGTACATAACAAACTAAAAAAAACCCAAAATTACATATGCTCTTAAAAAAACTAGACTATATGCCAATTACTCAAAAAACCTCGCCCCTTACGCAAGAAATGCAAGTTTTACCCAAGACAAATGATCCTGTTACCGAGAACTCTGATGTACTCATTGTGGATTCTGGTAGTTAACGGATTCATGGCTTGGCTGAAAACATTAGAACGACAGCCAATTTCACTTGTAGATTTCTCATGGGAAATTTCAGTTCTTGTCGCTTGAAAGACATATTCTCCAAGTGCATAATATTCACAGCGCCTCCTGTTGGCTTGTGCTCCATCCTCGTGCAAGACTCTATCGTAAACCTAAAGTATGGTATTTTTTTATGTTTGATGTCTTTTAACAATCACCAATAGAGAATGAAATGACTTGGTCTCTTAATTGTAACTCAAACTCATTGTTTTTACCAGATAGGTTAAAATAAGAAGCTCCCACAAAAGCATGAAGAATGAAAAGTACTTAAAAGCTTCAACGCCAGCCATATAGGAGGAAGAAGGGTGTGAAAGCTCACACAATGAAGCAGCCCCTGTAAGAGCATAACGAGGTCACACAATCAAATACCATGCAGTTATGCCAGAAATTTCTGAGCACCAGAACGGCCGAGAATCTGAATTAGGCTTCAGGTTTGGGAAAAATCAATTACTAATAGCAATTCCTCAGCACTGTAACAGCCACGAATAAGGAGGTTCCATACAATCCACAAGTGGGAGAAAAACCAAGCAACCTTACAATACAAAACAAAACCGCACCAATCTTGGCAGGCAAGCAAAATTACATAGGGGAAGGCATCATCAACTTGGTAAACAACCATAGCAAGAGAGTGGCAGGGAAAGTGGCTAATGTGTTCACCAATGAGCAGGCATCGGAAGAACTCCCCAAAGCAGTAGGACCACTTGCAGGAGGAAAACCAGGAAGTGACCCAGACACTGGCACGGTAGTCTTTGGTATTGTTGCTGTTCCAGCCCCATCCAACTGTGGTGCAGGAGCTGGGGCATACTCTGAATCTCGTGTTACTGTAGTCGGTGGAGCAACAAGGGGAGGAAATTGTTGGGGTCCTGCACCATTATTTGAAATGCAAGTGCAACAATATATAAGCCATTAAGCTACATGACAGTCTCAGAAAATCTTCTATACTATGAAAATGAAACGATTCAACTTATCAGCAATAAACTTGGAAGCTCATGTAGCAGCAAGAGCATAAATAAAAACAACAACAGTTACTGACACAGACAATCTCAACCATGCTGCTTCAATTAGAATTTGCCATGTATGATCATTTTCATCTTTTTGCAACTAAGAAAGAAATGTCATTTCATTTGAAAAAGGTGAGATGAGGGGAAAAAAGAAAAATAAAGATATACTCCCATTCCATGGGATTTGAATCATTTGATTCTGAAACGAACAATCTACTTATTTGATTTCATACTGCCCCATAAATGAATAACATTTAACAAACTGATACCTGGGCATCGAGGTTGAAGAGATGTAGACAACCTGTTGAACAAAGAGATAATTGAAACCATCAGACAAAGCTCATACAAGGAGATTTCATATTAATGAAATTAATAAAAAAACAACACAAGGAAACATAAAGATGCAGCATACCCCGTGATGATGGTTCCATTCACATAACCACCATAATTACAAGAAGTAACATTGCATCCACCGCCACTTTGCTGAACCGTAACATTCCCTACCATGAGGTTACTATTTTTGCATTGCATGCTTGAACAAGAAACGGCCAAGGAAGCAGGCATGCAGTACAAACTGTATGAAACAATCAACTAATTAAGACAGAGAAGAGGATCTTCTAAAACAGAAATTATGAAAATTTATTATCAATGAACAGATATGCGAACAAAACGTCTCAATTACTTGCGATTGCCTGGCCCACAACTGCACTGAAGGCAGTGGCTTGCTGTGATGGCATAGCTTCCATTCGGCACAATCAGACCATAGTCTGAGGCATATTTGGGGAAATTAGAAGAACAGGCTGCAAAAACAAGAAACAAAGGTGAAATCTAATCACCATCACCATCCATAGACAGACACAAACAAGTCGAGCAACAAAATGTCAAAAATCATCACTCAATTCTCAAAACTGAAATCTAGAAACACCGATTAGCTTCAGTCTACGACCTAGAAGCTGCTATTGGAAGTTACTTAAATGGCTAAATATAAATTGAACAAGCATTAATACTCAAATGAAAAAGCTTATAGCGCTAGTAAATGCAACAACGAAAAAAGAAAAACCAACAAAATGACCAAGGTAGAAGTAGAATTTAAGCTCAAAAGCTAGAACACAAAAGTTGATTGAATAGGAATCAGCTTTTGAAATAATTATAGCAAATCACATATTTCAAGTTTTCATCATTGTTATATGGGGTCATGAGCTACCTGACAAAGGGACCGCGAGAATATCACCAGCTGTAATTGCAGTGCTTCCCATAGCATTAACATTCATCAAATCCGTGATGGTAGTGAAGTACCTTGAGGCAATCCCCGTTAATGTGTCCACTGGCTTCACCACATAAGAAAGATAAATGGCCGGGAGCGAATTATCTGTACCATTAAAACAAGTACACGGCAGCGGCACCATAAGGCTCTGTCCCACATCAAGAACAGAAGGATCTTGAATGGAATTTGCCTCTCTAAGCTGATCAGCGGACACCAAACCCCCATAAATGGAGTCTGCAATCGAGGAGAGCGTGTCTTGAGGGCGGGTTTTGTAGTGGGTAGAGACAGATTTTCGAATCCCGTCGACGCAAGAGCAACTAATGGGTATCTTGAGGAAGAGCTGGGAGGGAAGAATGTGGTTCTCAACGTCGGGGTAGGAAATGTCAATGGCATTGGCTGTGAGGACGGCAATGGGGTCCACCTGGAAGAGAGACGCCACCTCGGCCACTTTCAGGTCCGTGTAGAGGGTGTAGCCAAGTAGGGAGTTGCAGGAGTCGGAATTGGAGCAGGGCTCGATCGTGGATTTGGAGGTTACTAGAGCTGCATTGACTATGAACAACAAGATGAGGAATGTGTAGGAGGCAAACGATCTGGGTTTCTGCATTAGCATTTTCTTCATCCTGGGCTTTTGGGTTCACTTAAAAACAGAGCATATAAAGATGAAAACAACCAGAGCAAAGGAAAAAAGAATGCAGAGAGATAGTAGAACTCTAAAGAGGGTGTTGGAAAAAGATGTTCTTTTCTTCTTCTCCTCTTTCTTTTAGGGTCTGATTTGGGGTTTTCCGGCTCCGGCAAGGTCAGGGCTTTAGGGTTTGAGACTTTGGAGTTTGGACTGAGGTCTGTGTGAGAAAGAGTAAAGCTTTTCGAGAACAGAAGAAAGAGAAATTTCTTGAATGGACGCAAGTTGGATTCTCGATCTAAATGAGTGGGGCCCACTTTTATTTTATACCGGTTCCATGGACTAATTTGTCCTTATATTTCTCTCCTTTTGAAAATGACGTTGCCCAGTCACAGCCGCGACAGTTACAGTGATGGTCTTAATAATTTAAATTTTTTTATTTTAATTTAATAATTAAAAATAATTAATAATTAACATTTATTATTTAATAAATTAAAATTAACAAACAAATTATTTTACAAAATAAATTATATATAATTTGTCTTATAATATTATTTAAATATTTATAAAAAATAATATAAAAATAAAAAACATTTAAATAATTTTTATAAGGTAAATTACATACCATCTCTTTTATAAAATTAATTTATATAAATTAATGCTTTTAAATATTATCAATTAAAAAAAAATGTAAATCACAACTAAAACGTGCGAGTTCAACAAAATTGTGTGTTTATAACACCCTGCGGCGACGTGTTCGACTGTGGTGAGTTTTGAGAATGTATTTTGATTTGCCGTAACTACCCTGTTTCCGTTAAGTGTGTTTTGTGATTTATGGAACTTTGGAAGCGAAGATGCGATGCGAGGGTGTTTTGGTAACTTTGTAGTTTTAACTTTTTGAGTTTTTGTGACAATGTGGCATCTAGGATGGCCCCACAAATAATTTTCAGACATGGAGATGGAGGGAAAGAATTTTTGGTGTTTTCTTTTCTTCCGGTTTCGGACATCCCAGTATCCCCATAACAGTGTCCCACGTCTCACCAATGGCGCGTGCGGTGCAATCCTACTAAATCGGGCCCGAAGGAGCAATGAAAGCTTTACCCCAACATAAATCGGGCCTCCATCTTATTCGGCCCAGTTTATTTCGCTCAGGTCTGCGGTTACAGTCAGCAATCCCGGGCCGCCTTTCACAGCATTCTCCGATTCCGGGAGAAATGTTACGTACAAGATTTTCTGGAAGAAATGTTTGTATGGTTGTTTATTGTATTTAACTGTCTATCCTCTGAATGGAACTCCTGTGAATTTTCTTTCCATGACGTTCCTTTCCCCTTTCTTTTTGCCTAATGGATCGAATATATATATATATATTTTTTGGTTTGCACCATCCGATATTCAGAAACTCATTGGGTCACCGACTAATTCGGATTCGAGCTGAACAAGACCCAACAGATGGTAAAACTCTTCCTCACAAATTTAATAGGATTGCATTTATAGGACTTGAAACCAAGACCTCTAATTAAATTAAAAAAACCCCCACCAATTCATTCACCCACCTGCTCGTAAATCTAATGGAACGAATATGTGCTTGTGCTTCCATGCAGACTCTGTCTACCCTTTCATTTCATTTGTATGCAAAATCAACTCGACATTTTCTTGTGTTTCTTGTGAATGTTCTTTTGCCATCGTAATGAACTCTTATCTTTTTCTTTTCTTTGGTGCAGGTCAGTGTTTGCTCGGGCTCAACCAGATGTTGCCCCAGCTTTTGATACAAAGAGAAAGACTCCAGAAACATGGTGCTACCAGTCCAAAGTTTTGAAGCTTTTATTTGGTTAGGGCAGAATTAGATTTATTTATATCTTTGTTAGCCTCAAAGAAATTCAACAGGTTCGCTCAGTTTGCATGGGGCCATGAAATCATGCTTCGTATAAATGAGAAATATATTTACAATATTTATACAATCAACTAATAACTGACACGGGAGAAAGAAATCCAGGCGTTAATATGGTTTGGCAACAGATGTTTTCAACTTTCATTGAGCAAATACCTTATAAAGCCCGTAGAACAACTTTGCTGGTTGTGTGGATGCCCACTGCAGCAAGTTTCAATATAGCACGGCTCCTGTACAACCTGTGTTTAAAATTCAATTCACAAGAGTTAGAGCAATTTTATAGAAATAGTTATTTCATCCTGAACAGAAGTGATACTAGATTAACCAAGCTCGGTCAACCAGTGTGCTGAATTCAATTCAATGACAAACTAGCATGCCACTATCTTCAAGAGCATAAATACTTAAAAGAAAGAAACAAAAGAACTCACCCAGCCAATGCAAGGCCCCAGGTTGATAGCATGTAGAATGTCTTGCCAGCATTCCAAATATTCATGATCTTATCCATTTTGCCAATACTACCCAATGCTTTTACAAGAGCTGCACAGTGTCTCACAATGATGAGTAACTTAAGAGGGCAAGCAAACTAAATAGAAACAGAAACAAAGATGAAATGGTGAGGATATAGAGACAAAAGGACCACAAGGCAAACTAGAAATCAAGGGCTAAGAATCAACGTGAGAAGGAAACTAGAGAGGACAATATGGTTTAGGGAAATTTCTTAATATCTGCATTGACAATCAAAACCTATCAGAGAGTTAAAATACAACATTTATACCTCATCAAACCAAATTTCTAGTCTAATTTAGCAACCATCAATAAAAGTAACATGGTAAGCATGATAATTATAATACTATAAAGTTCTAAGGCCTTCAGGATGATTTAAGACATAATCAAGCACAGAAATAATTGATTCTCAAATCTCCTAAGATAAGTGTGCACAAAATCCATAAGTGATGACCTTCCATGATTAAGAAACATCCAGAACAGGGGACAGAAGCCAAATAATGCATTAAAAGTTTGCCTTCCATGATTAAGATTACTTACTTTTCTGCAACTCTTCTGGTGTCAAATTCTGCAATTGCAACAGAGAAAATTACTTTAGATTCATTTGCTAATGAAGTAAATCAGAAACAATATGAATCAGTAGCTTAATACCTGAGCTTTAGGGTTGGAGAAAATGCATTTAGCCATAAAATTGGCTACCCCATCGACTACATGTTCCTCACTGACAATGATATAATTCTCATCATCAATCCCACTCCACTCTTCAACATTGCTCGGAACCATTTCATCCGTGACCCACACCCACCAACTGGGTTCTTCATGGTCAACATTAACCAAAATTTCAGCAGAATGCATATCTCCTAATCAAAAGACCAACACCATTCAATTAATCAGTTTCTGTATTCTTTAAACCAACATATGAATACATGCAAGTGAGAAGATTTATCTACAAACCTGTAGCCTCCTTGAATGGAAACTCCAACTTAGTCTTAGCTTCGTGGAGAGATTTGAGTCGAATCAAGAAGTCTTTAGAATCAACGGTAGCTACTAGACGGGCATACAGCTGCACCAGTTCGCAAAAGCTCAGAAGTAATTTACGAATTGAATTATGACAACATTAAATAATGCTAAATTTCATAACTGGGTTCAACAATTAGATGTTATTGAGACGATTTTGATCATGGTAAAACATTTGAGGAAGAGATGATATGATCAACTTACTTCCGGTGGGCAGTTGTTTAAGACGGTAGGAGGTTCAGATATATTGTGGAGGAGCTTGAGGTTTTGTCCGAGAAGGTTTCTGAGGCGGCGATTTTCGGATTTTAGAGATTCCAATTCTTTGTCTTTCGCCTCCTCTGACTTCTCTTGGTTATCGTGGGTTCCGTTGTGGTGGAAGTGGTGGCAACGTTCCGCGGCGGCCCATGCCACGTCGGCGACCTCTAGAACCGTCTTGGCCACCTCTACAGCGCCATGGCCTCCCATTATTTCATGGAAATTTTGCAGGAAACCCTAAATCGAACTAATTGGGGGAAAGGAGTCGGAAGACGATGATATCGATCCATTGTCGTTTGCGTGTACCGAAAACGGGATTAACGGTTCCGTCCGCTGTCGGGTTTTCCATGGCGGGTTCCGTACCGTAGATATTTACAAACCTGCTCTTAAGGGTCTGTCTGTATGCAATTTCCCTTGAAAAGAAAGGAAAGGTGCACAAACAATTGCTTGGTTTGGTTTAAAAATTTAGTTTCTTGATATGGAAATTAAGTTGCAATATAATTGATGAAGGCAATAAAATAGAGATAATTTTTTAATAATTTTTATATATTATTTAATAAATAAGTATATAATATATTATAATATTAAATAAATAATAAATTAATTATTTAAATAATATATAAAAATTATTAAAAAATTATCTCTATTTTATTGCCTTAATCAATTATATTGCAACTTGATTTCCATATCAAGAAACTAATTT